ATCTGAAAGGAGTGTTGAAGTGTTTAGGGGTAGAAATTTGCACCCCTCCTCCCCCTCCCCCCACAGACCGTGACAGAGAAAAGCCATACCCATCACAGACCGTGACAGAAGAGCTCCAAAGACCATCACAGACCGTGACAGAGATATCCAATACCCGTCACAGACCGTGACAGAGAAACCTAGTACCCATCACAGACCGTGACAGAGAAACCTAATACCCATCACAGACCGTGACAGAGAAAATCCAAATTCCTTCATTCACAATATAAAAAGCTCCATCGTGTTTCACATTTTTAATCCCGCAGGGATTGCGCTGAAAGCTTTTTACCATGCTATGAGCATTCTACATCCTGAATTAAATTAACAGAATCGAATGTTCTGAAAAGAATTGTGAAACGGAGTGCAGAAAGAACTCTAAAGTATATTGGACAGAAATTCGAATTCTCTTCATTTCCCTCACCATCACAAACTATGACAGACGAGCATCATAAACTGTAAAAGATTAGAACAAATGCTATTCATATACGATCAAAGATCAGGTATCGCATGCATCTCATTGTGATATACGAGCTAATTCTTAATTGAAGCATTAGAAAATTAAGAAAACGATAATAAAGAAATGTGTCTGAAAGCAAAATCAAATGCAATCTTTTTCATTTAATTAGTAGCAGTTGCTGAATTGTGCGTCACATTGAAATTCCGGAGGCATTATGCAAACAGCTGTTCTATTACCTTGAAAGCTTTCAATGTATTTGTCACGGATCTAGTGTTAATATACAGGGTGGCGCAAAAGTCACTTTACCCCAAAAAAATTGAATATCTCCATTATGGTTCGAGCAAACGAGCGGATTTTTTTATCAGTGATAGAGGCATGTACCAAGTTTATATTTATAAAGACATGTCTAGGGAGACCCTTTGTTAAGTATCACTATTGACCTCAACAAGAAAAATTTACTTTTTCACAGTTAGAAAAAAAATCACTTTGCCGAAAAAAATTGAATATATCCGCTACAGCTCGAGTTAACGAGCTGATTCTTTTATCAACGATAGAGGTAGGTTCAAGCTGTATATCCATAAAGACATTCCTAGAGAAACCCTTTGTTAAGTATATTGTTTTCTATTCTATCTGTGAAAAAAGTAAAATTATTTTGTTGAGGTCATTAGTGGTACTTTATAAACGCTTTCTCTAATCTTGTCCGTATGGATTTAAAGTGTGAACATGCTTCTATTGTTGATAAAAAAATCAGTCCGTTTGCTAGAGCCATAGCGGAGATATTTAGCTTTTTCTTGGTATCGTCACTTTTGGGCCATATACAGGGTTGCCCCAAAGTCAGTTTACAAAAATAAAAATTGAATATCTCTATTACGCCTCTAGCAAACAAGTTGATTTTTTTTACCAATAATAGAGGCATGTTCAAGCTTCATATCCATAAGGGCACGCCTAGAGAGACTCTTTCTTAAGTATCATTATTGATCTCAACAAAAGAAGTTTTACTTTTTGACAGATAGGAGAAAAAACAATATACTTGACAAAGGGTTTCACTAGGCATGTCTTTATGGATATAAACTTGGTACATGCCTCTATCACTGATAAAAAAAATCAGCTCGTTTGCTCAAACCGTAATAGAGATATTGAATTTTTTTTGGGTAAAGTGGCTTTTGCATCACCCTGTACATTAGTTTTACAGATTGTCAAAATTATATTTGCATATTGTAGAGAACTTCCACTTGACTTTTACATAAATCTAATAAGTTCCTCAAATTTAATTCAAACATTGAAGTTGCAGATTGAACAATCAAGAAAAAATTCACAACTGCTCATTCCTTTTCCAGTTTATATATTTTCCTCAGTAGAGATAGATTCAAGTAAAAACGATACAAAAACATTCACGTTTAGGACCTATTTTTCAAAATTTAGATGAATTGTACTGAGTCTTCAAACCCGGTGCTATATCATATAACAGTGCAATGTGAATAGCCTGATTTTATCCTAAGATCATTCCTGAAGAAAGATCTAACGAGGGAAGTACCCCAACTGTTTAAAAGCTTTTGACTCCATCTTTTGGTTATAAGTAGGTTTCAGTGAGACTAAGAAAACCCTAAAAGCGTTCGTGCCCATAGCTCTTCCCTCCCGAGATACGGTTGAATGTATGTCAGAAAAAATATGGTTTTCCTCATTTTTTGAGAAAATCGTTTTCATGTAGTTCTAAAAACTTCGAACATTAAGTATATGCAAGAAAATTAACGACAGGCACCAATTTGTCTCGTTTCAATCATCAACTATTATAGATTGAACTATGAGGAATTGAAGATTTAATAGGAAAGTATCAAATCTCAAATAATTTTTTTGCATGAGATATAGAAAAATCATAAAAATCCTATATTTTCTGACATACATTTAATCGTATCTAGGGATGGAAGAGCCATGGGCACGAACGCTTCTAGGGTTTTCTTAGTCTCACTAAAATCTACTTATAACCAAAATATGGAATCAAAAGCTTTGAAACAGTTGGGGTACTTCCCTCGTAAGTTATTTAAAGCTTCCCTAAACTTTCGAGCGACTCTCATGTCTTTTCCTTCAGATAATGAATATAGAATTGCATCTAATAGTTCTATTTCTCTTCTGGTTTATCGTACTCATTCTTTTGGGAATTTATCGCATCGGGAAAAATATACTTTGTACTTTTGAAAATTTCAGCAATCTTGCATGAGATTGATATATAATTCCAAGCTAAATTAATTTACCTTCATTTGTTCACAATGGAGCAAAATACAGTCGTGCACTCACTGAGATATGTTTAACTTACGACAAGAAATGTCTCCACATGAGCAGATTTAAGCTTTTCTATGCATTTCCAAGACCTATATATGTCTAAAACAAGAACTCAAAAGCTAAGAATCAGTTTAAAGATTTGCAGTGTTATTAAACAACTCTCACGAATGTTTTCAAAGCAATGAAAACGACGAGTTTCAAAACAATCAGAACTGCTTTTCCTCGGAGAGGTGAAATTTAACAAGAGACTTCATAAATTAGTATCTATATAAAAATTGTTGATGAGGTGCTATTTAGAAAATAAACAGAAATATGCTCTGTATAGTGAGAATTTGAGGAAAGCAGTATCAAAGCCATTGAGGAGATCTACCTAACCAATTATTAGAGATTTCATTTGATATTTCGGGACATAAAAAACGACGTCCAGTTAACGCTGCGATGTTGGTTTAATACTAATGCCTTTCGCTTAAAAAGTTTTAAACAGTAGTCCGGGTCCCAAACAAAGATAACCAAAAAGAATTTCTATAGACCAGGTTTTTAAATCGAACATTTGTAGTGTAAAATAAAAGATATCGATATATTACTTGTCATCAATTCAGTTTCTTCTAGCTGCTAGCTAAACAACTTTTCAATTTTTTTCTTTAAGCCGTTTTATAATTGTTCGAATCAACAATAAAAGGCAATAACGAAACAAATCGTTATCTCATGAGGTCAATTTAGTTCTCTGCAATGTTCGAGATGATAATCCAAACACGTCTGTTGAGATGAATAGTTTTTCTGGTTTAAAGAAACTATCATTGCAACCATAATCGTAGATGATTTTGAAGATAATAATAATAATAATCTAAATTCTGAAACGATAAGACATACTAGTCCGCGATCTTCCCCTTAACCTTACTTCTATAACAGCTTTGAAATTCAAATGATTGATGCCAATGTCTAGTTCAGCTTTAAATGTTGTAATGAAAATCAAGTATTTACGTTCATGTTTCAATTGATCGGGGGACATTCAATAATTCAAACTTATTTATGTGCAGAACACATATTTCAGTATAAAACTGAAGCTAGAGAACAGATGAGGATTATCTAAAATGAATCTATGAAATAATCCGACTGTTAATCTCGAAATGAAATTATTTTTCCACTAGGTTTTGCCACCACTCAGTCCTGAGCATTGTTTTTTCACATTTGATAGCGTATTTCAAGCATTCTTAGTAGCACTGAGTTCCTCAAAGTTCGTGACGCTTATCATTAATTGTCATATCGCCCTAAAAACGAATGGTAACTTCCAGTATTGCGATATCCATTTGTGGAAAATGCGAAACTATTTTGTACATGATTGTAAGAGTGTCAGATATATAGGTTGAACGGCTCTATTGTTAAAAGTGTTTGTATTTTGAATGTTATTTTAGAACTACCATTAACGACGACTGTCACCGATAATCAAACAACAACAGATTCTGCTAGTGGTTTATCGCATGAAACTCGCTGCTTGGATGAACTAGAACAAGTCAAAGCAATTTTCGATATGTTTGTTTCTGGACTAAAGCGTATATCTACTGAATGGAAACAACTTCCTATCTCACAATTAATTTCACTTTTTCCTGATTTGCATTTTATTGATGATGACTTTCAAACGATCGAATCTCTTTTCGATGATTCTACCATTCCATCACTTAGACGAATTCTTGACTATTGGAAAGATCATCGAAGTATCGACGAGATTTGTCACAGTGTAATAAACTTACTCAAATATCTTAAATTGACAAGCGATAATGATAAATCACCTCTTACTGAACGTATGCTCACGTTGAACGAAGAAACTCCCGGAGAAATTTGTTGGAAAACTTACAATGAGTATTGCACATTGTATACCGACAAATTTTCAGAAAAGGCGCTCAATTTCATTAAAAAATTTAACATTTCAAATGAACTTTTAGACTTTATACATCCGTTAACTTCAACGGATATTGAAAGTTTACTTGAATCTATCAATGATTCAGACGAAATATTGATCGATACATCAACGATCCTGAATATGACTAAAATAAAATCTTTTTTCGAAAGAATTTATGAAAAAGTTGCAGAGATTTGTAGACAAAGTTTGACGCCTGCTCCAGAGGAAATCGTTATCCAGTGTTTAGAAAATTTATTAAACGAAGAAGAATTCACAAATATTGTATCATACATTGATTCAAGTTTACATTCTTTAACCTCTATACTACGAATGTACATGGAATTAACCAATAAAGGACTTTCGAAGCGACAACGTATTCTTGAAATAATGCAAACATCACAAATGAGATTTATTGAACAACGAAAAACACAATATGGAAATGATAAACATCAATTCGACATTAAAATCATGATTAAAGAACAAACGTTGTCTACTGTTGAACAAACATCAATTATGGTTAGAGAAAAAGTAGTCGAACGACCAATAACTTATATTGACCTTCATGAACTTCGAGATCGAGCACGTCTCATCGAATATTCCAGTAGTGAAGAAAAAAAACTTTCCGAAGAAGAACGCAATAGACTTCAATCATTTGTCAAAATGGTAGAGCTTATTGAAACAATTTTAAAGAATTTGACATCATTAAATCTTAGTGGTCATCCATTTGTATCCGAATATCTCAAACCAGAACGGCGTTTTAGATGCGATGCCGGTAATTTTAACGAATTGGAAAACATGTCTGAAGAACTCCAGCAACTGCAAACTGAATGGAATGATTATTTATTAAAAAAATATCAAGACTATATTTCTTTGACTTACTTTTCACATCAACAAATATGGTTAGTGGAAGAATATTTATACGGAGAAGAAACAGAATCAAAAAATCCTTTCAGCTATCATTTTATGAAATTAATTGGTATAAATATTTCATTAATCGATACAAAACTTTTGCCGAAAAAAGCAAATAAACCAGAAGAACGGTTAGAAAACATTGGTCGAATATTGAATACTGCACATATACTAACTATGATAGAGTCTTCAAGCAAATCAGACACAAATAAAATAGTTTTTCTTGTTGGTACCTCTGATGAAGGCATTTTACGTGCAATACTTTCCATTTTTCAATTGTACAAGATGCCGCCGAAATATAATCATCTTTTTTACTGCACATCAGCAACAAGTTGGATTGAAATACGAGCATTTGTATATCGTTGCTTTTATTCGAAAAACTCTCTACATCAGTTGATTCGACCTGAACAATTATCATTATCAGTTCAAGATCAATTCACAAACTTAATCCGTGAGGTAATTAAAAACAATCCAGAACATTCGTTTCGTTTAGCTGTTATTACAACAGCACCTACTGATCAATTGCAATTGATCAACAGTTTGAAAATACTTCAAATTGTTCAAACAGTATCCAATCATGAATTACTCAATGAAGAAAAACTGAAAAATGAAGTTGAAAAACTTATTGGTAACAATTGTTATTTAGTAACATCGAGTATTTCAGGTCTTGGCAAATCGATCTATATACAGGACGAAATTCAATGCATGAACAAAGAATACATCAAATTTCCTATCAGTGGCAATTTCGATATCGATACAATTGCTGAAAGACTACTACAAAAAACAACACAGTTATTATCATTGCAAGCCGCTATTCATCTTGACATTGGTATTATCGATAATATCCAAGAATTCAATGAATTTCTTTATTGTCTGTTAATTTTTCGCGCTTTTCGATCGAGACACACTGCTATAACGATTCCAGTCGATCTCCCAATATTTATTGAGTTCGACTCATCACCATCATCAATTCGTATGACAAGTAAAGTTGTCGTCTTACAATATTTATCAAGACAGCATTTTGATCGTATTAATTGGAATCAATTAAAAATTGAAAATCGATTGAATACACTTTATGTTGTCAAGTGTTTGAAAGCTTTTGAAGACCAGACAATCATCAACCAAAATATCGAAAGAAATGAAGATCAATTGAGAACATTGACTGTCGAAGAATGTATTACACACTTACAAAATCATTTTCTTAAAGAAAAAAATAAGGATTTTGTTACTTGGACGCAGTTAAACATTTATACATCTATATATAACACTATATTCAGTGGATTTTCTCAATGTGGACATTTTATGGTATTTAACGATGAAGAACAAGAACAATCTTCACTACGTATTCATATACTTCGAATCTTATTGAATTCATCTAATCAGTTCACATCACTATCAGTTGAAAACGTTCGTAACAAGCAACGATCAGTAGATACTAGTGACATTTCATTGAGTGATGCTATAGTACGGTGGGATAAAACAGAGCCTTTCACTGTTATATTTTCTGATAGTTACGATCCCTTGTTCGTTTACAAGACCGTTGATGATATACCAGATTCACTTCGAATAAAGTTTGGAAGGTTCCATGAAATAGAAAGAAGAAGCCGACGACAACGCATGATACCAAGACAACTCACGACACAAGAGCCAGAATTATTACCAGATTATAAAGACCTAAAGCATGAAGAACTGTTTTTGAAACTAGCTTATTTGTCAAAAAAGTATTATCACAGACCGATTTGTCCCAAATGTTTCCAACAATATGACTCGACGATAAAAAACTGTACAAAATGTGCGACCAACAATGGTCTATGTTGGGCTCATGAACTAAGAACTGATCAAATGGAAAAACTTATCAAAGCAATCGGCAATAATCTCAAAACTCATTACGTTTTGACGGCTGATAATTATATCAAAATGTTATTGATTTACCTTCGTATCCAAAGCAATATTCCCGTGTTAATTATGGGTGAAACAGGTATTAATCTTTAAATGATGCTTGCGTATCTTAATATTGATGTGTTACTACCAGTAATAAAGCTTTGTTCTGTAGAATAGATCATTAAATTGAGCTTAAGCATTCCATAGAAAATGAGCAGATAAAAGCTGTACATACCAAATAGTCATTTATTTATACCAATTTTTGATCTATTTTTCTTCATCCTTTTTGTTGAGCTCACGAAGTTTGTGTTTATTAGCGTTGGAGGAAAGAGTGCTTTCCCAACTAGAGATGTGCGGGACCAAAAAACCTTGATCTTGTGCATCTCTGTCGCCCATTGAACAAATCAAAAGAAACGTGTGTTGAAGATTAATTCTGTCGAATTAGGAAAAGTAAAAGTACACCAAGTACTGTGCTGTTATTTGTTCTTTCCCAAGTATACTTCTTCTTTACTTATGCTTGTACTTAAATACAAAGCGAATATTTTGTGCTTTTTTAGGGCTGTCACATAATAATTAGTATTAGCATTATTAATTGTGTTATATCTTTTCCTTCATTTTTACTCAAAGATGAAGCCCAAACAAAAAACAGGAAATCTCAATCGATTCATTTCCATGATCTTTTACACTCATAACCCGAGAAATATCATCAGAGAAGAATGGAAGAATGTTTATAATTCATGACTTCATGACATCATAGCTGAAGAAGGAATCTAACTAAGTCAGAAAAGACTTCTCCTGACACAAAACATTGCTAACGCAAGTGCTTGAGCAGCCTAAATGTTATTTGAAGTACCATTAATGGTGCCGGTAACATGACATCAGTACCTATATAGTACCGGTGTATCTATTTAGGTAGAAGTATGCAAGTATTTGTTTCAAAATAAAACTATACGTAAGAAGTAAACCTAAGATGTGATGTGTTATCAGTGTTTCCTAGAAATTCGATTAAGTGCTACCATACTAGATATAGAGGTATATGAGGCACCAGCGGTAGAGGAGTATTAGGCGGTGTTGGCGTACAGGAGGTATAGGAGATATTGGAGGGTGTCGGTGTGGGATTTCATCTTGACTTTACCAAAAACAAGAGCGGTCATAATGATACCAGAGTCGCTTCGTGGTACCGATCTAAAGTGAATTTGTATGGGAGAGTTTTGTGTAAATTGCACTGTTGATTGAATACAAGTGGCATTTGCCTTTCGGGAAGGAGGCCATATCTGTTAGCTCTAACATGTATAGAACGAAAGAGACAAGCAGTGACACTGATCTTGTGTGACAGAATGAAGAAAAATATGACCTCCCTGCGACTCGAACTGACATCTCCTGATATTCGGGCAAATGTCCTGAGCCAAGTAGACTAGAAGATGCATATTAATCTTCGTTCAGTGCTGGTGTCATCCATGACTGACGCTAACAGTATCGTGATGTTACTTCATATAATATAAATTGGGATATGGGGTGCTGATAACTGCTCTCTCCAGTGATAGCGACTCCACACCCTCCTATATCTCCTTTACCTTCCATCACTCTTGTACCTCTAGTATCCCTGGAACCCCAGTACACCATAGTATCCCTAGCACCCACAGGATTCACTGGTACCTGTAGTCCCCCTTGCCCCTTGTGTGCCTCTGGCACTAAGTAGTATCTCCTATACTTCTGTATCTAGTAGAGTACCATTTAATCGAATTTCCAGGAAACACTGATAACGCATCGTATGAAATTTAATAAATACTTGGTATTTGAATGTGTATCTTGGCTTATCAAAGTACGAGTAGTCCAGATCCAAATGCTTTTGTCTAAGCTCTCTTACTTTGAATGTGAGTCTAGTAAATTATGCAAGAATTTTCTTTAAACTGGAATGCCTATGTAAAAAAAAGCGAGAAAAAAAAAGTGATTTTAATCGATTTGTTTTGATTAATAATCGATTTAAATGGCACGATTTTAATCAGATTTTAATCCGATTTCCTGATTTCTAAGAAATTTTAATCGATTATTTCATTTTTAATCGATTTTAATCTAAAATATAGGCATTTTGACTTACACAAGTGAGTATGAATTGATGCCGTATGAGTAAATGTATCAATGTTAGGGCTAGGGCCCGTACTACACTTACTATGTGTCGACGCGGTGAGCCAAAAAAAATAGTAAAAGGTTGAAGTTTCTAAGTGAAAACTGGAGAAAAACGCATTTTTTTTAGTCATAGAAATTAAAATCGATTAAAACTAAATAATCGATTAAAATTTATTAGAAATCAGGAAATTGAATTAAAATCTGATGAAAATCGTGTCATTTTAATCGATTATTAATCAAAAAAAAGAATCGATTAAAATCAGATTTTTTGCCTTTTTTATTACATGGGTACACTACAGAAAAATCAAAACTACCTGGATCACAACTAAAACTTTGGTCTTGGGCATTCTTAGTGCCGACACTGGCAATCCATCCGCTGTTTTTGCAATTGAAAGTATTGGTTTTTGTTTACATCGTATCTTTTAAATGAAAACATCACCTAAAAGTATCTTTAGCCTGCGATTAGAGTTTCGGTATGGATCAGAGATGTCCATGGCGGCTATAAATCCGCCGAAGACATTTAGAGAAATTCGTACTGTGCCATGACGCTGCCGTCCCACCATAGACATCTCTGGTATGAATATTAGCGTCAACATCCGTACGCATACCCTAATTCAAAAATTAAAAACGACGGATAGAGTCAAGTAGCTGCTTCTTACTTGATAAGTACTTCGTCCGATTCGGCAATGTGTTTTTTCTTCCATACTATAAATATGCTTCTCATAGGATGTGGCAAGACATCACTGATTCAAACATTATGTCAATATATTCTTGAAGACGAACTAGCAATTTTTCGTATCCATGCTGGCATTACGAACGAGCATATTATCGAAAAGATGAATGATTTTAAAAGGAAAGCTGAAGAATGTAATCAGCATGATCCGAAACAAAGATTGTGGATATTTTTCGATGAATTCAATACAACGTCAAGTATTGGTCTATTCAAAGAAATTATTTGTGAGAGGACATTACTTGGTGAAGTTTTGCCGGATAATATGGCTTTCTTGGGTGCATGCAATCCACAACGACAAAAAACTGATAAAGTTATATTCGAAAGCGACATTGGCATTAAAAAAGATCGCTACGCAGTTGAAAGGTCAATTCATGTCGCTGGTAATGTATCGCTATTGTACAGTGTCGTCTCAATACCTGAGACAATGCTTGAATATGTTTGGGACTTCGGTTTTCTCGATAAAGATACTGAAACAAAATATATCGAGACAATGCTAAATACTTGTAAAGATCTACAATCGGATTCTAGTTGGTTTCGAATTACGTTACAACTAGTAGTGACATCGCAAGAATTTTTTCGCGAAAACGAAGATGTCAGTAGTGTTTCCTTGCGCGATGTGGCTAGGTTCTGTCGCTTATACAATTGGTACATTGATTGTATACGTTCAGTTGATTATACAGAAAATACAGTTACATGCGCATCCAAAGGATTAAGTCGTTCGTGTTTAATTGCTCTCGCTCTCTGTTATTATTTTCGCATAAGTTCTCGTAAACAACGTGGTAGTTATGTCAACAAAATTGAAACTATTTTAAATACTGTTACTAAAGAGAGTCGAAATATGAACAAATCATTCATCGAAATTTTACATGACGAACAAAATGCTCTAGTAAACCGAATGGAATTACCCGAAGGTACAGCTAAAAATCGTGGATTAATTGACAATATATTTGTGCTTGTTGCCTGTATTGTCAATCGAATACCTGTCATACTTTGCGGGAAGCCTGGTTGCGGTAAAACATCATCGGTACAAATTGTAATGACACATCTTAAAGGCAAAAAATCTAAAAATGTTTACTTTCAACAACTGCCTATGTTGATCCCAGTGTCATATCAAGGCTCGCAAAATTGTACATCGGAAAGTGTATTCAGAGTGTTTGAACGAGCCAACAGATATATAGAAGAAAAACAAATCAATGAACAACTCTTGTCGGTGATTGTCTTCGATGAAATAGGTCTTGCCGAATTATCACCGCACAATCCATTGAAAGTTTTACACAGTGAACTTGAAGTTGATACATGTAGACATGGCTTTGTAGGTTTATCGAATTGGCGTCTAGATGCATCGAAAATGAATCGTGCTCTTTATCTTGCATGTCCCGATCCCGATGAAAATGATTTACAGTCAACCGCTTCAGCTATTTTACAAGCAGAAATATTAAGAAATAATCAGGTTGCACGGCCGGACGATAAGATTATCCAGGGTTTAGTTGCTACCTACCATAGTTTGTATGAATTGATGAATAATGATCGAAAATACGAGAGCTATTTCGGTCTGCGAGACTACTATGCCATGATGAAAAGTATTGTACACGACTTGGTCGTACCACAACACGGAAAAGACTTGTACGAAAGTATTCGACGACATTTGAAAGCCAATTTTGATGGCACATGGGATGCATCAGAATATATGTGGGAAACGTTTTGTGAACATATTGGACAGCATAACTTCATTGGTCGATATAAATCAGTATCGAAATTCGATCAAATACTTGATCAATGTTTATCAACAAGAACCGGTCGATATTTAATGTTAATCGGTAAAAATGAAAGCGTTATTGATTATGTTGAACAACATATTCGATCGAAATATAAGACATACAAATTTCGATCGTTAATTGGCAGCTCACTCTCCGGTGATCTATTCGATGGACGAACGTATACTGAACGATATAACTATAAAGTATTGATGGATGTTATTCTATATGTTGAAACTAACGTCACATTGGTCATGCGTCGCATGGGTCATCTCTATGATAATCTCTATGATTTATTCAATCAAAATTTTGCTTTTTCAGCACAAAAGAAATTTTGCAGAATTGCACTTGGTGATCTTTATCATCCACGTTGTTCAGTTAATGATACTTTCTATTGTATCGTATTTGTTCAAGAAGCAGATTTACCAAAATGTGATCCACCATTTCTTAATCGTTTCGAAAAACATGTCATTGATATGAAAAGTTTAGTTCATAGTTATCATTGGTCAGTTCAACTTAAACTTATTGAATGGATAAAAAGTCTTTTACCAACGGATTGTAATGAACATTTTCCATTATTTCAACATTTGTTTGTAGATTATAGTGACAATTATATTTGCACTTTAGTACTCGAAGCATTTGAGCAACTTAGCATTTCAGTTGATGACGAAAATGACACAGATACAAATGCTGCACTTGTCTATTGTCAAGATAAATTAATAGAAACAAGTTCATTAGATTTTCCACTAATACTGTCATTGAAAACAAATAATAATGATAACAATGTTCCTTTGCTTATTGACAAGTATTATATAAAGCACGAATCCCTCTTATTTTCGTCCCTTCTTAAAAGTACCTTCAAACAAACACAGATACCAAATAGAGTTATTTACACGTATACTCAAATTTATGATTCAATTGCATACGGAAAGTACGAAAGTAAAATTGAAGAAATCAAGTTAAATGCTTTCAAAACAGAACTTGAATTTACAAAACGAATAAAATCACATTACAAATCAAAAGAAGAAAAACTTCGTTTATTATTGATTCGTGTCGACTATCACGAAGATCATAATCATATACTTTTAATTAAACATATTCTACTCAATGAACACGTACCGAATAGTAATCGTAACGTATGGCTAATATTTCATCTTCAACGTAATATCTTAAATCAAACAACCAATGATATTCTATTCAATGGATGGTCACCCATAATGATCGATGATCTTAACAAATCGCAACTGATTTCAAAAAATACTTTTTTTGAATCATCGTATATCAGTTTAATTCGTCAACCTGATTGTGAACTGACCGATTGTTTATTTGATGATATGATCCCTCGTTGTCTTGGTAAATTCAATTATCAAGTTACTCATAGAAAACTTCAGACGAAAATTAATGATCGCCGTTCAGAATTAATTAACTCTTTTATGAACGATAAAAATAAAGATAGCCGGACTGAAACGCTACGATCTATTGTTCATAATCAGTTGCCTATTTTAATTGAGAAATTTGGACTTTCTCAAGATCTGTTACGTTTGAATGATTGGCGTAGAGATTTATTAACAAATCCTACTATTATTGGCGCATGCCGATCCGTTCTCGATGCTATCAATATTATCGTTTCATCTTTCTATGATAAATGCTTTTTGCTCCTTTTTGCACATTTGGAAAAATATTCGTTTATCGATACATATCAATTTATTTCAAGCCAAGATAATCAAGCTACTCGTCAAGGTTTACGTTCGATTTGGGACCAGTGTCTAATTTTAATACTTAAAGAGATCGATGTAACTGTAATTCAAAGGGATTTAGATAATATATCATTTACTTTTGATTTACATTTACCATGCGCTAAAACTGAATATAAAATAATTCGAAAAATTCGGGAGATAATCTCACAGGATATTCATAATAATAATGATGATGATTTTGATGATGAGACAATCATGGCGAAAGCAATGGAACATTGGCGTAACAAAAGTTTCTATAGATGTTTAGATAATTTTCAATTAATCGAAAATAATTGTGACATATTCAAGCATTACTATCACGATCAAATTATACTTGCTTTAGAAGAAGCAAAAATATACCAACTATCATCTGAATTTGCTGAATATCTACTTATGACTAATACACATCGATCTGTTAGCAACCAACTTCAACATTTATTAGTTGATAATGAAGAGTTATTTGAATTACTACGAATCTTTGAAATTGCAACAGAACTGATTGATGAAAAAAAATTAATGAACGATTTTAAACAACAAACAATTCAAGGTGATTCGATTTTTGAGACTAGTCAAGAAAATAGTGAACTCTATACACTGGTGTTAGCCAAAGAAAAACAATTTTATTTAATTCCACCAAAACAAACAATACAGCGTCAAGATGATTATGAATTCGAATGTGAAGGTGATCCTTGGATAGAAACCTGTTTAATGAACTTGATTGAATTACTCGTTTCGAAAGCAGTTATTGAAGACATAAAAAACATCGAAAAATTATCAAAAACTTACGGTCTCATTGAACAAGGTGTCTTTGGACTCAAACATTACACTTGTAAAAATCTCGAGAAATTACGGTCATTCTCTAGTCTTATGCGTTGTATAAAAACTTTACTTTCTGAAGATTCGTGTTCGATGGCATTTCAAAATGCTTGTCGTTATGCAGGATTTGCTGGAACATTTTCTACATGTGATAGTATCGATAACTTTATTGAAGATTTGCGTAAAATTATAGTTCAAAATGAACTTACATTAAGTAAAGATATCATCGATGAAACATTAATTAAACTTGAAACTGAATTTTTAAAAAATTGGCTCATTGATCATAGTGATCAATATGAAAATGTTCTTCGTTTGATTGAGAGCAAACAAAATAATTTGTGGTTATATTCAACAAAAATATTTCTTTATTTGGATAAAAAATTCGACATTCTATCAACGATCAAGAATAATAAGGGAAATATCATATTGACAGATAAACAAGAACAGTTAAATCGATCTATTAGAAAAATGTCAACAGAAAGAATTCATCATTTAATGGTAAATTATATACATATGCATCTAATGGTTGATATAGACAAGACTGTTGAAACAATTGAAAAGAAGCTTGAATTACATTTCGAACAATTTGAACAGAACATTAAACAAATACAAGACAATATCGAACAAGCTGATCAAGCCCACAATTTAGTAATGATTTGTTTGATTGCATGGATTAAATACTATACTGAATTCTATGCGTGTGCAGTGAATAATAGTTCTGAAAATAAAATTTTAAAAAGAATAGATGAATATAAAATTTTAAAAAGAATAGATGAATACTTATTGAATAATGAATCATCATTTGGTCGTACTATCAAATTGTTCATTATAAAACAGTTATGTCAACTTTCAAACATGAATCTAACTGCACTATTTGAAGTTAATAAGAAACGAGATATCGTTTGGATTCATTCGATGCTTCGCAATGAATTTGAAGTTCAATCGAAACAAATGCCGAACAATATCATCTTACCAATACCATTGTTTAAATGTCATGAAGAATATAAAAGAATAAGTAGTATTCTTGATTGCAATACAACGTTAGATCAGCTCAAGCGACTAATTGTCACTTGTTCTATAAGACAAGAGACATTGTATTGTTTTCTTATTTGGTTTATAAACTATTATTCACAATATTCAATGACAAACAAGAAAAGTGATGATAAAATAAACGTGTACATCACAAAAAATCTCGAAAAAGAGTTAACTACGGTTTTTGAGCCAGTCGGTTATAAATTTCTCGTGGAATTATTAAATAATTTCAATTCGAAGTCTTACTTTCATTTGAATTTGACAATGAAACCAAGTGAAATCCAACAACGATTACTTGCACTCAACATATTTGCGTTAGTTCTGTCATTCAAAGCACGTAGATCTTCAACTTATTTGAGCAGCCTCCTTTTTGATCAAAACTTAAAATTGCCAAACAATTACAATGAATATTTCCAAACGTCTGTTTGCATACCTGGTCTTAGATCGGATAATCCAATTATTACTCAAATGATCGATGTACAAACACAAGTCGCAATACGTTTACACCAGGGAACCATATGGGAAGAAGGAAAGTTTATATTTAAATGCTCAGAAAATTGTAATTGGATGTTCTATTTTGAAAATTGTGGTCAACCAAATAGTGAAAGTCGATGTCCATTATGTCACGCTATAATAGGTGGGTTTAGCCATAAACTTCGTATTCGTGATCCACCACAGATAAAAATGTCGATTTTGGAAGCAAATGAATTTATCACTAACTTTATTGAAAAAAATGATCAAAACATTGGCTTTGGTTATCATACAATAATACCTGCGCAAGAAAGTCAACTGGGAGAAAAATCCGATCATCTTGATCGACCACTTTCATTTCGCTTTCTTCATATTCTTAGTCAAGGTATATTTCTTGTTTTACATGAACTTGATCTATTAATCGATTCAACTTTACCTGATCGAACATTTTTTCGAGCACATTTTGAAAAAGATTATGAATTAATTTGTCAACAATTAGATGATTCAACATTCGGTGTTACGTGGCTATTCAAATTACTTAATTATATGATCGATGCACAATGTATATTAAATGGACAACTAAACAGCAGAAAAAAACTGATCAAATTCGAAGAAGATTTTGAAAAAGAATTCATTTTCAATCATATCGCTTCAATACCGAATGACATCAAATCTTATTTAAAAATGTATGTTGATTTTGATGATAAACAAAAACAGGAATCATCATTAACAAATCTTGTCGATGAAATCGTTGAAAATGAACGTTATCCATTATTGACTTATTTCAATACGACTATAATTTATACAATAAATCCGATTGATAAATTACGTACAAAACTTAAAAATGTTCCATACGCAAATAAATTATATCCGATGACAACATTTATTGTTGAAAATCTCGAAAGATACGCTAATATTCGATATCTTTATCCGATTGTTTCATTTACGAACTATCTCATTGATAAATTTGATCATCGCATTAAACGTAATGATGCGGCATCAGTGACTGTACAAAATTGTTTTGAAAAGGATGACTTGAATATGGTACCAAATATCTATATCGAAAATGGAGAAGAAAGAGAGGCAATGATCAAACTCTATGACGCATTTATAGATGCTTGGTATAAGCTTACTTTGAAAAAAGTTCAATTTGGTTGTCATACAGAACAGTTCGATTTAAATAGTGTAAAAAAAGAAGACTTTGCTAAGAATACTAAATTAGCTATGGTTCTGTTAAATGCATCTAAAGATAAAAGTAGTATTTTACTTGCAGCTTGTTTAAGAACAATTGGAGAATTACAAAATGAAGTTGTTAAATATTTTCATAGAACATTTGATACTGATTCGATAGATAATCAACTACATAAACATGTTGTGCCTCTACAAGCCATTCGACCAGAACATGTACTTCGTCTTAATTTTCATGATTTGAGTTCTAAATTGATATTGGATTGTTTCACGATTAATTATCAATACGGTTTGAGTAAAGACCTTATTTTTGATTATGAAGAAATTGAAATGACGCTGAGAAAAATTATCAGTTGCTTACCATTGATTGATACAGATAAAATGAATTCTGTCAATTATCAATTCGAATTATATGGTGAAAATTCATTGTTAATCACAGATATTCGAATGCATGTCAAACAAGAATCATTGCCTGTTGACGAACGAAAAAAATTCAAAGTACGTCTATCATCTATGAAAAATGATCATATTCTCAATTATCTTGGTTCGTTGGATCATGTTTTTACATATTTGAAAAATATTGACAGTGACACAAGCACAAACGTTTTAACTATTCAACAATTTGCTGAACAAAATATTAGTTCACGTAGTTGTCTTCATGAAAATATATTTCGACAACAACCATTTTCGACAATTTATCTTAAATATATTGTCGATTTGTACGAGCTTTTAGAAGAAATAACATTTGATCAAGTTTTAGGAAGTTATATTCCGAATGAATACTGTGAAAAATCATTTTTAGAGTCTGATCGTATTAAAATTATCAATGAATTTATTAAAAGTACTTATGCAAAACAAACAATATCAAACGTACTCAAACAACCTGAACGTTGGATTGCATTATTGAAACGTATTATTGTAAGAATACTTTTGAATATTAATGTTAGTAGTGATGTACCATTACAATTGTATCTCGAACGAGCTGATTTATGGACAGGTGATGTCACCGAAAATGATATTCAGTCGTTTTCAATCAGTAATGATATTCTTTTACGGCATACCTTTATTATTCTGAATGGATTGAAGGCCCAACAAACGAAATCAAATAGTGACTCTAATGAAGAAAATATCGAAAAATCCATTCAAAATGTGCATGAGCAGACCAAACAAGCTATAAATTGGAATGAAGCAACAGAAAACGATGCTGGTTCAATTCGAGTCATCAAAGATGATAAGAAAAGCAAACAAAAAACAAAGAAATTACGTGTTTGATTCGCTCCATTTAATTATACGTTTTTATTGATTTACCACTGATTCACTTTAATCTTGAATTATTTTACATTTCAAAATAAAGATAATTTGGCTCAAAACTTCATACTGGGTGTGGGGCGTGGGTGTGGGTTTGGGTCTGTGTGTGTGGTGTGGGTCTGGGTCTGGGTGTGTGGTATGGGTGTGGGTCTATGTATCTGGTGCGGGTGTGGGTCTGTGTGTGCGGTATGGGTGTGGGTCTGTGTGTGTGGTGTGAGTGTGGGTGTGGGTCTGTGTGTGTGGTATGGGTGTGGGTGTGGGTTGGGGTGCGGGTGGGTGTGGGTGTGGGGTGTGGGTGGGTGAGTGTGGGTGTGGGTGTGGGTCTGTGTGTGTGTGTGGGTCTGTGTGTGTGGTATGGGTGTGGGTCTATGTGTGTGGTGCGGGTGTGGGTCTGTGTGTGCGGTCTGTGTGTGCGGTATGGGTGTGGGTCTGTGTGTGTGGTGTGGGTGTGGGTGTGGGTCTGTGTGTGTGGTATGGGTGTGGGTGTGGGTCTGTGTGTGTGGTATGGGTGTGCGTCTGTGTGTGTGGTGTGGGTGTGGGTCTGTGGGTGTGGGGTGGGTGTGGATCTGTGTGTGTGGTGTGGGTGTGGGTCTATGTGTGTGGTCTGTGTGGTATGGTGATAGGGGTGGATGTTGACATGCATGGAGACAACAATCAAATCCACAATCACACTCCGCACCCACACCCAAGAAAACACGCTTTTCTTTTCTTTCTTTCTGTTGCTTAATCAGAATGTCGCTCATCATTTTTCTAAGAAAAACCTCATAGTCAGAAGAAAAAAGCTCGTTTACTTTACTTCCTTTGTATTTTACTTATTCTAGTAATGTCGGAAATTTTATAGATGTAACGGGATGAAAAAAAATCTCTTTTCTTTTGTTTTTTTTTATAGAGTTGTTCCCAGTATTGTTTGTCATTTTCCGAGAAAAATCTGAACGGCTAATTTCTTTTTACAAAGAAACGGAGAAAGTTAGTTTACTTTACCTCCTTTTTCCGTATTCCAATAGTTGTGGAAGAGAGTGCGAGATGTGGGTGGGTGTGGGTGTGGGTGTGGGTGTGGGTGTGGGTTCTGGATGTGGTTGTCGATGTAGATGTTAGCATGAGCTAAAAGAACGATAACATCCGCACCCACTCCTACATCCCACTCTAGGATGTGGGTGTGGGTGATGTGAGTGTATGGATGTGAGTATAGGCATAGATGTGGGTGTGAGTGTGGGTGGGTGTGTGTGGGTATGTCGGCGTTGGTGTTAGTGACGAGAATATGCACACCAACAGTCGCACCCACGCCCACACCCACACCACCACACCCACTCACACACCCCACACACCCACACCCACACTCACACCGACACTCACACCCAGACACCCACATCCACACCCTTCATTTTCGGTAAGCTTGTGTCCGACAAGTAATTTAAACACCTGTTGAAGAAGATTTCTATAAATAACAAACTCTCGAATTTTATCGATTTATTCTATTTTTCGAATTAGGCAAAAATTACTTTGAAATCATAATTGATTTTTCGACATTTTTTCAAAAATTTAAGATTAGAAAAACAAAGAACTTGTTGATTATGATAAAAAAATAAAAGAAATTGATAAATAGCAGTATAACAATGTGAATTTGTTCCATCAAAATGAATATATTTTAGACAAGAAAGAAGAGACGGAGAATTACAAATTAATGGTTGTAGGATAAATGCAAACTTCTTTTAAGATAAATCTGACTGATTAAAAATATTTCCAAATTTATCTATTGAAAATGTTGAATAAATAATACAATTAATACATCTATTTAATGATCAAAATGGTATTAAGATCTTGTCTCATGATAAATAGAAAAATATTTTATGCAATTAACTCTATTAAATTAATGTAAAAGTGTTTTTTTTTTGTAGAACTTTCATATATTTTTGAAGAATATAATGAGTGTAAATTTTAAATTGAAATTTTTCGACTCCTCTCTCCATTATAGATCTTAGCAACTATTCTATCTTATGTGGTATATATGAGTTCCATATATCGACATTAAATGGACTATGCTAATAAGCTTTTTCAAAAGAATAATAAAACAACTTTTTTTTTAAATTTTGTCAAACACGATCTAAAAGGACTGTTGGAGTTATCGAGTTGCAGGTGTACATTTTCGTGGACCCGAAGAACAAAAAACTGAATCTGGGCTCTATCAGCTCTTGGCTTCGACTCGAACAGATACCAACTCAAATTTTCTTCCAGCAATATCCATACACTTGAATCTTGTTGCCGTACTTCTCATCTAAGAATTGAGCTTAGTATGATAATTACCCTTTACTTTTCCTTCATACTCATTGCACTATATTGGAAGTGATACATTTCATGATCGACATTTATTTACAATAGGTACGATTCACAAATTGAAACATATACTGATTATTTTATTTTTTATACCACGTCACAGTTTCGTTTATTCCATATTTTAATTTCACAGTGTGCTAACAACTTTTTTTATTGATATTCTTTTTAAGAAAAATGAATTGAAATGTAATAATTCTTATTGAATTATTAGTACACATGAAAGATTAACAATTACACTAATGATTCTTACTGATATTTATTTATAAATAGATAAACTAGAAATCACAACGAAACGAGGAATTAAGATGAAAGTTAGACTCAAGATTTATTTTTTCATAGCAAAAAATAGAGTCGTAAATGGTCGATAAGTTTTTAAATAGTGTCGAAAAAATTGTTTCTGTATTGATTGTCCTTTTGAGATTCCATTTGTGAGAAGTCTTCAGAAAGATATACCATGTTGTACTCATTTACATGTATCAAGTTCTTCAAAGATGGCAAAATCATCTTCAAGTACAACTAGAAGAAAACTTTGTAAACGAAATCTTTATCGGATAGGGCAAGTCTATACCATGAAAAATTTGTCCATTTTGAAGCCTGTTTCGAGCATCGCAGTTTTTACAACTCTTTTCAATCTATAGCCTGCTGCCATATCGGTATCGAATTAGACTGATTAGAACTGTTGTTCAAAGAAAGATTATACAGTTTCTATTACTATTATGACTGTGAGATATAAAAAACAATATTTTCAATTGTCTTGTTTTTCAAAACATCCAAATTTCCTATCATACCATGACTTAGATAACCAGCTGACATGTAAATGTTTAGTGTCTGTGCTGATAAAATCTATCACTCTCATAATCAGACTTGAGGGTGTGGGTGTGACTTGAGATTAGAAGAAAATTAACACATACACCCTTTTTTTAATAAATTAGTGAAAATAAAAGGAAAATAATAGTCAGAAGAAAAGGAGAACAATAACTTTCGTAATGTTCACAATGCTTTCTTCGCATCCGTTTATGTGCTATTTAACAGTGTTACTCAATGACTAATGAGAATATCAATAAAAGAAAAGTTCCTTCCTCCACGAATGAAACTCATCTATTATCCACCGTATCTAAATAATTTACTTTATGATGAAGATTGATATTGAAATATTTGTAGATTTTCTTTTCTAAGAAACTAATAACAAGATTAAATTGATATTCTAATTTGTGAGTTAGTTGTAAATGAAGATTAGAGAAAAAAAGTTTTTGTCTAGTTGTTTATAGCTGTCGGATGTTCATCCGACTTGAATTGACACCTTTTTTCTTTTTTTTTCTGTCGTTGGTGAGGAAAATGATGGTATTGTCGACAAGTTTATTTTCAATTGGAAAAGAGATTTAGTTTTGACGAAGCAGAAAAAATAAAATATATTAAGTAAAAAACAGGGAGACAACTACATGTTTTTTTTTCAAAACAAGAAAAAAAAACAAACTCGAATAATATTTTCTTTCATTTATTTTTAGTAGATCATTTGAACAAAAATCTTTTATTTAACAAAAAAAGCTTGTTAAAAAAGTCCGAATATCTTTATCAATTTGATTTAATTCATTCATTGTTGCATTTCCATATTCTCAAATTATTTTACCATCTTGTTTTACTGTTGTATGATGTTTATCTCCACATACTTATTGTTTCAGTTTTGTTATCTTCATTTTGATTTAATGATTATTGAATTTGTTTTTCAATAACACATCTTTCCAATTATGTTGTTTCTCGTTTCATTGTTATTATTATAAAAGTTCTTGGAAATGCTTCATTAAGACCATGTTTTTCTATAGTAGAATCAAGATTTTCATCACCATAATGATTATCTACAAAAGATATTAATTTAAGAAAATTCGTTTTTAGAATAGGTTTTTGTTTTGTTTTTACTTTGAAACTCTGTAGTTGAGAAACTGGAGAAAAGTCAATCGAAATCAACGAAGATTTTTTCAATTGGGGAAAATAAACCATTGAATAGAAAATCATCATCATTATTATCTTCCATTTTAGTTTTTAGAATGGAAATTTATTTCTCAATGTTCATTTTTATTTTTATTTCAATATGAAGAAATCTATAAAAAAAAAGGATATCGCTAGACATTCAATTATCTCTTAGTCTTATTAATGACTTAATAGATGTGCATAGGTTACTAATTGAGTTAGTCAATCGAGATATTGCAAAGGTTGAATATCAAATGAAATCATGTCGATAAAATTTCTTAAACAATTATAAAGTACTCAGTTGCATTGATATCGTTTCATAAAATGAGATTATTTATCCATACATTATCATAGAATTTCAGTGGCTACTAAAGTGAAATTATTTCACACAAATGTATTGATTCTAAATTCTCGTTTTAGAAACGGATTTCTTTATCTTGAAATAAAAGAAAAACGTTTTAATGATAAGTTACTTTTTCAAAATGATAAATATATGCATTAAAAGTTAATAATAATGATAATAGAATTAGAATTCCAATTTCAGTTGCTTTTGTACCTCGACATAGTTGTCCTATAAATTCCGATAAACGGGCTGCACCGGATAATGGATTTTCACTAAACAAGAATTAAAGATTACTTTAAATTAAATTCGGTTTCATTTTTAAATTTCATACCGATAAATGTGGTAAATTGGATGCAGCACAAATATTAAATGGATTATATTCATCATAATTTAATGGATGTTCATCAATTGGATTTTTTTCACAAACATTTAATACTCTTCGTGTCTAAACAAAATAATACAAAAAAAATTAATTTTTTTGTTCCCCTTCTAAAATAATTCAATCAAAATTATGTTTCATCTAACAAAGAATAAACTCAATTGTTTCCAATAAATCAAAAACACATGAACAACTTCGATCAACAGATTTGATATATCTTGAGTGCATTAAAGATATGTTTTCTTTCTTGTTTTTTTGGTTTATTTTAAAACCTTTCAAAGTTGAAGTCAAGAAAGAATGAGAGTATTTGGTTTGAAAATGAAAGATTAATACTAAAACAGAAAATCTATTGAGTAACATCAGGTGTTGGTTCCAATTCCAATAAACGTTTGGTGAAGCTTGTTGCAGTTGTATAAATTTTTAATTTAAATGCTTGATTAACTGCAGATTTTAATTTTATGATTTTGTGCATTGATTGTAATTGTCAATGAGTAAAACAGGCAACTAATTCATATCAACGTTTTTCATCATCTTTCGCTAAATCTTCGTTTTTGTCATTGACATTTATCAACTAACAATATATTCTTTATATATTTCAATTCATTGTTCATCTTGAAATTATTCGTTTTTTGTTAAACAATAAGCAATTTGAAGGCGTCCAACTAATTTTTCTAATTTTAATCCAAGTAGTAGATACAATAATTTTGGTCAATGTTCATTATGCTTTAATAATTAAAATAACTTTAAAATATTTATGAAGTAAACAAATAATTTATATATTTGAATAAAAACATACAAGATCAGGTGATAATTCAATTTCAGTATCACCTCAACTTACACCTTCAATTTTTATTGCATCATCAGTCCAATCTTCACCACTTCTTGCTATTTCATCAATATGAAGGTTTGCAGCAAGTTTTGCTGTTATGTTTGATATTAAACCCTGGTCTCCGATTGCGATTTTTTAAAAATATAGGAATCCTTAGAGGATCAAGTTTGTCTAAAATATAGGATTTTCGATAAAAAATGACAAAAATATAGGATTTTTTATAGATCGTTTCTGTTCAATTGTTTTGGTATTGTTTAACTTCTCTGCTCGAAAATCGTTTTAATGAAGCTGTTATAAACAGCTCAACCATAACCAAGATTCTTATGTAATTTCTTTCTACTGAAATAAGCATACTATGGGCTATTTAATTTCAGTCTGAATTTATCAAATAAAAATAATACTTGATTTCAAACTGAAACGTGAGTCTAGGAGTGAGGGGGGGG